GAGTCAATTTCCCAAAAATGCTCCATCAGCAAATAGGTTAGTGTGCGGTGGACAGTATGGCTATGTAATTTACTAACCACACAGTCCAGAATGAGGTGATAAAGTCGCAAAACTTTAGCTGCATTTGGTGGATTAAGTCGCAAAACTTTAGCTTCGTTTAGTGGCGCCATCTACTCTAGGTAGATGGCGACCGGTTTTGTTACTGGTTGGTACATTTGTTACAAACATTCAGGCAAAGGCCAGTCAAAGTTGAGACGGGAGCCGGGTTTTTACCGATGTTTGCCATCCTTATATGTGAGCAATCGTAAATTCATGGTTTGCCGGAGTTGCGTTCAATTTAAATCTCCGAACTTCTGAAGCTGAGATATTCTATGAATGAAGGCTTGTATCGCAGTCTAGAATTTAAAAACGGGTGACCAAATAATGAATTAGGTGCTAAATGTTGATTTAATGCAGGGTAAGTTAAAAACAGACATTCCGTCCGAGTGGGATTCATTCAAAAATTTGAGGGGGTTCGCTAGAAAACAGTGGGGTTCGCTAGAAAAGGGGGGTTCGCCCGAACCATAAAAACCCCCCCTGGCTACAGGCCTGTTTTAACCTGAAATAAAGACGGAACTCGACAAAGCAAGTTCCTACTGGTTATTCTTTTTAGTAGACGTCTAATTTTCGTCAGTGTAAATTGCAAATGCACCTCAAGATGCTATTCAAAACATGTTGCTAATTTTATTAGGGAGGAAATTTGTAGAGAATAAAATCTAATTTGTTAGGTTTATTTAGATTTGACTCTAAAATAATACCATGAGGGTTTCTTATTTGTTTTTTGCTTTGTTTTATAAATTTGTTAAACAAAACATTCTTGATTACACCGAGCTTGTTTACTGTCAAGCACTATGAAACTTTGGGCGATCTGACGTCATCACAGCCGAAGCGCATGTCTAGTGCAAAACACCCCACAAAAATGGACCAATTGGCGGGCAGGCAGAGTTTTTGGGGGCGCGACCTATTCTGTTTACAACTAGACTGCCGACCAGCATTACCCAACGAAGAATGTGTGCTTGGAAAAACATAATCAGACCATGGAGTTATATTATTTTAATTATAACTCCATGATCAGACCTAAAGAAATGCACGCAAAAACAATATAAAAATCGCATCAATTTTATTGGTAATAATTTAATTTGCTGAGCAGTTCAGCAAAACAACAGGTACTGTACGTATTATTAAATAATGTGTTGAATTTGCGTATTTTAGACTAGGCCTAGTCAAAAGAATCCAGGGCTGTGATAAATTAATTAAATTAATAGCTAGGCCCAGACTACAACAATCTTATTGAAAATGACACAATTCTATTCTGTCTGCTGTAGAACCTTATCCAAACTGCAATAGTATAAAATTGAGGTTTTTGGAGTGCAGATAAAGTTTTACATCCATACCAGCCAGGAAAGTCCCTGGAGTCCGATCCATCACATTTAAGACAGTTAGTTTGGACAACGAGAGTACACAACATTCCATAAATTAATGCTTTCCTCTTATTATACAGTTTACTAGTCTTTTCAAGAGTAGGGGGTATTGTCTCTCATTAGTATGGCTTTAATATTTGTCAAAATAGAAAACTATGAAATAGGGCACAACAAAAGATCCAGATTAGCTTCGGTACGGACGCAAACTGTTTTAAGCAATTTTAAGAGTTTCAAGTCGACAGAATTCGGAGACAATTTCTTTATTTTTTGAGCATTTGTTAAATTTATTGACCTAGGCCTAGGCCGACTTACCCAATCCTCAGACCCTGGGACTTCACCCGGGGAAATTTGTGTACGCGAAGTTGGGCGTAAAGTCGGTGTGGGATTCTACCCGGGGAACTATGGTAATATTTTATAGCAGTAGTGACTGAGAGAGTTTTCTCTATTGTTGAAAAAACAAAACCAAGCTTCGAGCTAGCATGACAACAAAAACTTAAAGTGCTTTAATCATGGACCTAGGTCCATGCTTTAATGACACACAAGCTGGAAATGTTGAACAGAGATTATAAGTGTCATTCGAATAAATATTGACGTTATGACTCCAATGAGATCCAGCGAAACAAGCAACATACCGTGCCCTTCATGTTGAAGTCTGTAAGCCTACTGATTAAAATGTAACTTAAATATTTTTTCTTGGTTGTGAGGTAAATAAACAGTACACTTGATATTAAGTAACTCTTGTTTTGTTTGAAGCAACTGCAGGAATTAGGATATATAATTGCCATCTTAATTTTTTGTCACCAATGAATAGCGTCCCTATTTTTGATATTCAAATGTTGGCAGGTATGTAAATATACAGCATTTGATGGACGGACCTAGTTGTATGGGGGTGTAGGTGTACGTAAAAACATTAGAAACCATTACTGGACTACATATCCCTCTAAACTACGTTTACGTACAAAGGAACGTACACACCCGCAGGGTTCTGGTTTAAAAATAATAAAAACAATTTGTTAAAAATGGGTGATTTAGTGGAGTGGTAATGATTGGAATTTTGTACTAGACGGAATGAGTTTGAGACCTGTCAATGTTGTACAGGTACTTGGAGTCCTCGGGTATCAGGCACTTTGCTCCAATTACTTTTCTTGGATGAGACTTAAAACTGTTGGTCCTGTGAGTATTTTTTCACTGTGTACTGGTTATTGACTCCGCGGATCCCAAAGAGCTTTATCAGAATTTTCTTGCTGATTCAACAGAAGGACCATATACTTTTAAAATTTGTTTGGAAAGCATCATATTACGTTTGAATACTAAGTACTAATCGTTATCAAAATTGCTCATAAAATGGTTTTGTATATTTTATTGTTGCTTTCACAGGTACTGGAAAACTAACATAGAGGGGGCGCCGGCAGGCATTCTGAAAGGGAAGAGCGTGGCGATCAAAGACAACATTGCCGTTTATGGAGTTCCTATGATGGGCGGATCATGGATAATTGAGGGCTATGTACCAGAGTTTGACGCTACCGTAGTGACCCGGATTCTCGACGCAGGTTAATAATGTTGTACATAATGATATACAACATATACTAGGCTTTTTCTGCGTAAGCGGAAAAGCTATTGCTTCTGTTATGATGTTGTTTCCTATTCTATGTTTAAATTGTACCGTACAAAGCTAAAGGGGTTTCAACCTTTCACCTTGGCTAGTTTGAGAGAGCATTATAGCTCAGTTAACAGTGAATCCACAAATACAAAACGAACATCTTAACTAAATCAAATATAGTACTGGTAATTTGGTTTTTTCTTTTGTTTCATTTTTTGTTTCATTTATTTTATCACACGATAAAAGTAAATACATACAATAAACAATTTAATTCAAATTACAAAAACTAATTAAAATTCTAGTTAAAATTAACAAAATTCTAAGTGATACAAGGTTATCGTGTGAATGATGGTCATAAAAAAAGGCATGACCACCTACTACAGCGCTAGTCACAAAACTATAAAGAAAACAAAATCAGCGGGAGTAGGCCTAAAGGAAGAAAAAGTTTATTTTTTACATTTTACCTTTTTATATAAGTTACTTAACTTTTGTATACATGCAGAAAAAAAAGGAAAAAATGTTCATGTACCATATACCTGAAGTAGAGATTGTTTATATTTGCTTTTGAAACTAGCAATAGAGTTTTTTTTGTTTCAAGTCCAACGAAGTCGCCATGCTGTTGTTAAATATTGTCTACAGTTGTTGTCTACAATTTGACCTAAAATTAAGTTATCATGAGAAAAATTATCTAATATGAATGGGACCATTAGTAAAATTAGTCGAATGTATTTGTAAGTCATCATCGTACAATTGATTTGGAATAAAATCGCTGGTGAAGTACGTTCGTAGAGTGTTGTAATGGCTTATTTTGGCCCGAAATTGTTCTTTTAGACCACACTATTTGGGATTGGCAAAAGTATCGTTCTGTCCCATGGGAGATTTCTGTGTGACCCTTTTCTGGCGCCGCTACTGATTCTACACCTTTTCCATCCCCAATCACATTATCTGGATTTGAATGATAATTGATTCATTTATTTATTGATTTGATTCATTTATTTATTGAATGATAATTGATTCATTTATTTATTGATTTATCTAGGTGGTGTAATTAAAGGAAAATCTGTTTGTGAAGATTTCTGTATATCGGGGGAGAGCTTCTTTGGAGCTAAAGGTCCAGTATTGAACCCTCATAATAAGCAATACAGTGCCGGAGGATCAAGCTCGGGTAGTGCGGCTTTGGTCAGTAGATAAAACTCCGTTATTCATTATTCCATTCCAAAAATGCATAGATTCAAAATTGAAAGACTAATTAAAAACTATATACAGATCTCTTCGGAGATCCTGTTTTTTTGTCGTCAACATCATGTTCCTAGATAATACTACATTATTTGTATTCTCAGTGTCAAGCAGCAAAAACTTGACACTGATGACTGGCTCGGGTTTCTTCCTAGGTTTCAGCTGGTGAGGTAGACATGGCTATTGGTGGTGACCAAGGTGGGTCTATCCGCCTTCCTTCAAGTATATGCGGCATCGTTGGTTTAAAACCTACGCATGGGCTTGTGCCATACACAGGAGCACAGTCGATCGAACCAACTGTTGATCACCTTGGGCCTATGGCGAACACGGTATACGACTGTGCCTTGTTGCTTGAGGTGAGAAGTACATCCACACACATGCTTTTCACTATTTTTCACCTGTATTCACCTGTGTTGTCGGGCTCTATTATAAGACTTCTGATTATGCAAGGGAAAAATATCTGGGACTTGTTAGCAGGAGAGAAGAGAATGTGTCATATACTAAGCTGTTCAAGAAGGCAAGGAGCTCTGCATTGAACTGTTAATAGTCGGAACATCCACTGCCGAACTTGGCAGCGTATTCCATGTATTCACTACTCTGTTTGCAAAAATGTATTTCCTTATGTTAAAACGGGCATTTTTTCTGAATAATTTAATTGTGACCTCGCATGCATTTTTTTTTTTATCGTAATGATGAAGTGTCTCTAGATGCAGCATGTTTTAAACTAAACACACCGTAAATAGTGTATTCTGCGCATATATTTCATACTTTGGTTATGCATAGGCTACTCCAGAGTTTGAGCACACGTTCATTAAAATATTTTTAGAATACTTTATTAACATTTATTTCAGGCGATAGCTGGTTACGATGACGGATTGGATCCGAGACAGAATCAGACAAAAATATCACCAGTAAAGTACACCAAAGAGGTAAAGTAAATTTGTGCCGAGCCACAGGGCTCATAGGGGCTGCAGCTTATCCTCAGTCTCTGTAGCGTGAAGCGGGTGAGAGTGTGATACACTCCTGGGCTAGTCCACTGCAGGTTACTCCTAGCAATTTGCTGATATCCATTGATCGAGCTGGGTAGACTGAAGCAATGTAGTTCCTTGCACAAGGGTACAGGCGAAATTCACAGCGAAGGATTAAAACCCCGACAACGAGGTTGAGAAACCAAACCATTTCCACTGCGCCAAATAGCTTACCAAAGATGTAATCTAATAAATAAGAAGCTATAATGTAATGTATATTCAATACCATAATGTCCATATAATATTACTTTTAGCTTTAGATAATTACTTTTGCATTTGCATACAGTATGTTGCTGTTTTAGAGATTGTAGATATCTGTTATCATTTGTAGCTTACTATTTGTCATGTTTTGTTTTCCTGTCAGGATTGAAAGGTCACCATTGGAAAATGAATATATATAAAATTTTATATACCGTAAAGTTATTCATGGAGGACATTAATTTACAAACAATAGCTTTTGCTTTCAGTTGGAAACATACAACCTTTCCGAATTTAAAATTGGTGTGCTTAAAGAGGCCTTTGAACAAAAGGAATCCGATCCTAAAGTGAACCGCCTGATTAAGGACGCTTCAGTTCTCTTACGTGATGCTGGGGCTGGTGTCCAAGAAGTGTCGGTACCAATGCACAAAGATGGTAGATATGTCTTTCCTGTGTTAAAGCACTAACTGTTAACTTTCATCTACGCAATATTGGTAACATCAGGAAATATCTAAACACACTACTCCCGCTTTAATCAACGTCTCTGTCACTTCTTGTCTTTATTATTCTAACTCACTTTTCTCTTTTGGCCTAAAGAGGACTGTATGATACCATAGGGAAAACTATTTTCTCTATGATGATAAACAAATCAACGTAATGAACATAAAATAAACAAAAAAGTGTTTTTTTCTTTCCATACAGGTCCAAACATGTGGTTTTGCGTTGGATACCAAGGTGTTGCCGATACACTGATGAGAGGAAATAGTAAGAAATAAACTGAATTATCAATTATGATTATATATTTTAGAAATGGAAATATCTCATCACCATGTCAATACCATCAATATTTAAATATTTCCTTATTTTGGTTTATACTTATACGACTTTTATTGTTTTTTTTCGAGTTTTTACAGTTATGTAACAAATAACACAACACACCAAAGTGTAGATATACATAATAAAAATGCATAGTAACGCCAACAGTTTCGAACATCAGATTTTATAAGGAACACCTAGCTAAGAAGCTATGCATGCAGCTTGTAGGTGCGGCCTACTACTGAACAGTGCCGTATCTCATCATCATAAGCAACAATTGTCATCTTCATTATCATAATAATAATAATTATACAATTACTGGTACTTAGAGCCATTTTTACCCAGTCAGCTGGAGCTGACTGGGTTCTGTTTCTTAGCAGTTTCTTCCTTCTTTACCCAGTCAGCTCTGACTGGGTTCTGTTTCTTAGCAGTTTCTTCTTTCTTTCTTTCTTTCTTGCAACGACATTTTAAAAGGCTACTAGTGGCAAACTACTGGACCGATTTAATTAAAACTTGGTCAGTAGGACCGGTGCAACCTCCCATTTATGTGTTGTTCACAACTTGCGGTCAAAGGTCATATAAGGTGCATTAGGGTCAAAAAACCAAAAATCGTATAAAAGACTACTTGTCTCACAAATAACACAGTCTTGTCCTTTGCACATATACATTGGCATAAGGCAGAGTCTATAGGGTGATAAGGGGTCAAAGGTCATTAAGGGGTAATTTTTATCTTTTTTCTGGCAACATTTCAAAACGCTACTAGTGCCAAACGGTCGTACCGATTTCAACCAAACCTGGTCAGTATAATCGGTGACACCTCTCATACATGGGGGTGTTCACTGCTTGGGGTCAAATGTCACATAGGGGTCTTTAGGGTAAATAACTTTCAAAAAAATGAATAAAAGACTTCTTCTGTCACAAATAACATAGCACAGTCTTGTCCTAGGTACACATGTATTGGCATAAGGTAGGGTCTTTATGGTGTTCAGCGATTTATGGTCAAAGGTCATTAAAGGGTTATTCTTTTGTTCTCTCTAGTAACATTTCAAAATGCTACTAATGGCAAACCATTGGATCAAATTCAATCAAATTTTGTCATTAAGAACCGGCGACACCTCCTACACCCCAGTCTGGGATCAGGGGTCACATAGGGGTCATCGGGGTTAAATTTTCAAAATAACCCAATTGAGCTCAAATTTACCAGGAATGATCCCCTTAGGACCTTCTAAACACACAAACAAATACTCTTTACCCCATATGTCAAAGTTCATAGGTCAAAGTTCAAAATGTTACTAATGGCAAACGATTGAACCGAATTCAATCAAATTTGACCATTAAGAACCAGTGACACCTCCTACACCCCTGTCTGGCATCAGTGGTTACATAGGGGTCATTAGGGTCAAATTTTCAAAATAGCCCAATTGAGCTCGAATTGACCAGGAATGATCCTTAGGACCTTATAAACATGAAAAACTACTCTTAATCTATAGGTAAAAATTCACAAGGGTCACTATAGTGAAAATTATCAAGTATTTCTCTTACTAACGATTGAACCAATTGCATTAGACAGACTTCTACCAAACATGGGGTGTTCACAGGTTGAGATTAAAGGTCACAGTGGTTATCTCTTAAAAAATGTCTGGGTTCATGTTCTATTGAACATAGTATCTCTAGTTTATATTATAATACAGTACGGTACTAATAATCGTCACCATTGTTATTACAAAGTCATAAACTTGCTGTCATAATATCTGGTTTAAAAATCTTCTTAATTTATTCACCATAACTATTGATAATGCAATTGTTATTTACAAAGGTCATGAAGCTAAAAAACACACACCTTATGGACATAATGACTACCAACGTACTATAAAATATTGTATAGCCTTCAACCACAGCTTATCTTTGGTTTTTTAACACAAAGTCAAGTCACACAGGCCGAATTATTATTGATAACAAGTACATTTTATTATGCGCTATTACAAAATGAAGAAGTATGGTTGTTTCAGACGTAAATGGTAAATGGTGTGACCTCTCGCAATAAAATTTTACCGTTGATTTTTGCTTTGAACCGTGGTTTTTATCTCGAGAAGCAGGACAACCGCTTTTGATTTGTTCAGCAAAAGGTTTATTAAACGAGCATATAAAATTCGCAATGAAATATTAAATTCCATTAATTGATTAATTAATTACCTTTCTGCTTTTCTTAATTCTAAATATTTAATTTTGTTATATTAGTTCTTTTTCTGCATTACTGTATTGTGTCTGTTTTCTTCAATATTAATATTACGGGTTGGGGTGGGGGATGTTTCAGAATTTATATTACTGATCGTAAATTTGAGAGGGTTGTAAATAAGTGTTGTTTTTGTATTGTCCCTTTATACAGTGGGGCAAACTTACTTTTGTTAGGTGAAGTCTTGTACAGTATGTATCTGTATTCTATTCTGATGTTTTCATGAACTCACCAATATTATCGAGTGCCACTGATACGAAGGTGTACGTTCGAATAAATATATAAAAATGGGTACCAATATTCAGCGGACACCTATTAAGGAGACATTTTTTCGTACTAGGTGTCTAATAAATATGGATTCTACTGTATAGGAAACATAGGCCTATATAACAACTATATTCAATTGCTTTCGTGTTTGAATTGTTTACTGATTAGGAGATCAAATAGACGTCTGTTACCTCCATTTCCACATCATTTCAACAATTTTAAATATATATTATTGTACGTACGAAATGGTCAAAGGACAGAGTCACGGTCAAATAACAAAGTCAAGGTCACCGAAATTCGATATTTATCCCAGGCATAAAAGTAAATAATGGAATGGCCTGCCAGCATATTGTGCGTTATTCAGGCATGGACTCTCTATGGAGTGACTGCTCTAGTTTTACGTGCTTCAACTGAAAAGAGATAATAATGTTTGAAAGCATCATCTTTAACAGTACCATAATGTTCTTCAACAACACTTATTACTAACTTTCCGTTTGTGTTTCTTTCAGCTGTTGGTAGTGGCTTCAAAGGATTTTATCCGACAAGCCTAGTTGATGCTGTTGGTAGAGGCATCCAGGCCCAGCCTAACGATCTGCCACATACAGCAAAGGTAAGGTAGATATGTTTAACACCTTACTGTATCTGTAGACCTACAATTTTGTTTACAATGCATTTACTTACAGAACAACATTCGTTTAAATCTACGCAACACTTTGATATTAAACGGTCATAATGGGAACATGTTTACGGTGCTACGCATCAAACTTGGTTTGAATATTAGGCCTATTTACTATAACTTCCCAGCTGCGACCTACAAGCGTTTTAGTCATGCAGGGGAGAAAGTGCCTGGGGGTTAGATCTACGCCTATATCCTGTAAATCTCCGTGGTAAGGGTGTGATACGCAGATTCGAATCCCGCCATAGACACCATTTTTCATACAACTGAAATAACTTTTTGTTAATGAGCTATGCTTCGTGTTTCATTCTTGAAATACTGAGCTGCACTGATGAGATCTAACAAGATCGAAAAAGTAATGTGTATATATATATATACTGTCTCTTATACAC